GTACCCGCCCCCTCCCCCGTCCGTTCCGCCAGTCAGCGCTGGCGGATCGGAGCGGGGAGGGGGGAATCCAGCGACGGGAGGATGCTAGTTTGTGTCCTCCCGTTACCCTAAGGAGAACTATGGGGAAAAGCCTTAACCTTACTGTAATCCATGGTTGTTTCCCTTCTCTTTGCTGCTCTTCCTTTTAAATCTGTATCTCTTCTCATGCTGGGCAGAACTTCTGTTTTGCAGCAGACTGCCTTGTCTCTGAAATTGATACATGATGTCTGTGTGAAGGTTCACAACCTGAGCCAGCACTACAGGAAGAGGCACTCAGCTGCAAAGGGAAGTTCTCACCCAGCATGAGAAGATACAAGGATTTAAAAGGAAGAGCAGCAAAGAGAAGGGAAACTACCATGGATTACAGTAAGGCACACATTACAGTATTGGTTTACGTTAAAACATCTGAGGGTTTAATGTCACTTTAAAGGAGAACTATGAGGTGAGTGATTTCCACTCATCCTCATAGTTAGAGCCGAGGTGTGACAATGAAACTGTCACACGTCAACTCACTCACTTCCCGATCATCTATCTGCAGAGAGCGGTCACTGTCAATCACCGCTCCCCGCAGGGATTCTCCCCCTTCCCTCTCCGATCCTCCAGCGCTGACTGGAGGAACGGACAGGAAGGGGGTGGGCACAGCTGGCTTTTCCTCTAGATAGGCAGAGCCTGCTGTCAATCAGCCAGCTGGGTGGATCTTGGCAGTATTGTTAGTATCCGTCTCGACTGCGGCTCTCTCAGTATATAGCGGTCCGTAGCCTCCTATATACTGAGTTTTGGTCCTCCCGTGACCCTAAAGAGATTTATGGGATAAAAAGGTAACCCCATAGTTCTCTTTTAACAATGAAAACCGCCAAACAAAGCAGCAGGTTTAAAAAACCCATTTGCCATACTGTTTGAGCTAAAAAGGAAGCACGTCTATTGATATTTATGTATGGAAACCAACTTATAGACATCAATGTATGCCTATGTATGCATGCTGGCCATGGGTACACAGACAAGTCCATGCATAGTTGATCCTCCGGCATGCACATATTAGGTTTAAATCAGGCCCACTGTGTCCATGCACGTATATTTGGCTGAAGTTTATTACAACTTAAATTTAGACCAGCAATATAACTGCAGTTTTTGGTGACACTAATAAATAGTTCAGCATCGGCAAGCATTTTCAAAACATTTTACAAGCTTCACCCGTTTTTCAATATGCCCTTAAAGCACCCTTTACTCCAGTAGTGTTGAATGTAGATATTAAAACTTAGCTTCAGACAGATATTAAACAACAGCAATTATTGCAATTATGTATTCCTTAATGATCAATTAATGCAATTTTGTAATACAATTAGTACCTGATTTTGACTTTTTGCCAGCCTCCTGTAAACCCTGTACAGCAGCACTTAAACTGGGAGAGGGAGGTCAACAATACGAGCAATCA